GCCCGGGGGCCCCCACCTGGCTCACAGTGTATCCCGCCCGGGGGCCCCCACCTGGCTCACAGTTTATCCCGCCCGGGACCCCCACCTGGCTCACTGTTTGTCCCACCCGGGGCCCCCACCCTCCTGCAGCTGCTTCACCCCCAGATGAGTGCAGCTCGTCTGTGTCACAGGGGTGTCTCTGGGCCTGCAGCTCAGCCCGGCCCTGCCCAGTGCCATCTTGCACCACTTTAACTTGGCGGTTTTCCTAACGCTGCTTCTCCTATTTGCCAGTCTTTGGGGGCAGAGCTGGCCTAACGGGCACTGCAGGGCCCCCACTCACCCATGTGTCCCCGCTATGAGAAGGTGCACTGAGCCCAGCAGCTCTCACAGGCCTGGCCTCCTGCCGGCCAGGTAGTCCTAAGGGTGAACGGCGGCTCTTCAGTTCTTACTCTGGCCTCTGAAAACACCCACCCCAGCCAGCAGAGAGGAAACCCCGGGTACCTTCTCAGATCACTGCTTATGTCCCCAGCCTCACTGCTTACGTCCCCAGAGGTGGCACAGGTGTCTCAGGAGCCCAGTGTGCACACAGCACATGGGTACTGACAGCAGATCATGAGGAAGCCACACACAGTCCAGTTTCCTGCCATAGGTGCCCTGGGTCCCTTAGCCCATCACCAGCAAGGTCTAAGCAGGGCCTCGGAACAACTGGTCCCATGTCGAGATATAAGGGGTGAAAATGAACCTCAATCCAGGTCAAGTCCTGTGTCCACTGACTGGTCCTTGACACATGACTACATGCCTTCCATCCATTCCTCAGTTTACCCTCCCAGAGCACCGAGAGGCAAACAGGGTCACCTGGCCACCGCAGCTCTAGTCTAGGTGTGCGGGAGCCCAGCACCCGGGCTCTTCCTCCGCCTCTCCACCAAGAGCAAACACACAGTGGTGTGCATGAGAACACACAGCCATCACATCTGTTCTTCCCAGCCCAGCTGTGAGCCATGAGTCACAGAGCGTCCACGGTGGGAAAGCATCGTGTCTCAGACGCAGGCCCACACGGCTCTTCAGATACCAGGCCAGCTGCTGGGAATCTCCTGGTCAGCCACAGGGGAAGTACTCGTTCCGAATTCCGCTCCTGCTCTAAGACAGCTGCGGGGAAACCCCGCCTGGGAGATGCACTGGCTTTAGAACGCCATTTGAAGACTTTCCCGAGCAGGCGCCTCAGCCATGCCACCCATGCCGCTCAGTGCCATCCTCTGGGAGAGGTTTCAGGGCTTTCTTAGGTACACAAACGCACAGACATCCCAGCCCCTTCCATGAGATGGGGCGACACCTGACTAGGACTTGTATTATCTGCCTGTGGACTTCAAGTCATCCCTGGGTTACTACGATGTCTGTACAGTACATGCACCGTGTACAACGCTCACAAGTTCAGGAGAGGTGACTTCTTCTTCCCCCACTTGCCCCCTCTTTAGATAGGGTCTCACTGTGTATCCCTAGCTGGCCTGGAACTTGCTACAAAGACCAGGCCGGCCTTGAACTTACAGAGATCCACCTGAGTGCTGCTGTGAAAGACATGGACCACCACACCAGGACATTGTTTTGTATTTTTGAGACAGTCAATTCTATAGCCCAGTCTAGCCTTTATTGGCAATCCGTCTTCCTCAACCTCCCTAGTGCCAGGATGATTACAAGTGTGCACACTACACACATGGGCCCTAGGAAGACAGGAAAACTGCACCACAGTAAGAACCAAGGCACTGTCTCCAGATGACCAGCAGAGGGAGCCAAAGGAACAAAGCTGTCTTCACTCTGGTTTTAGGTTCTGTTGCAGTTTTGAGCCACAGGTTTCCGAAGCAGGAGAGACCAACTGACTGGCCACTGCATGCATCAGAACACAGAGAAAAACAGTGTTCTCCGTGAAAACCCGACTCTATTATTTTGCAAGTGACAAGCTGAGAACATATACTCCGTCCATCAATACACTGCTTCTCAAACCCTGCCCAGTCTGAGTCTCGCCTGCACATGAACTGGTCAATACCAGATTTACCAGTTCCAATAGAAATAACAAACGCAGTTCAAAATTAAGAAAACTCCAGAAGGGAGACTATAATTTTGCTTAAAATCTTGGCTGGACTCCAGTGGCCAATTCATGAGTTCAAGTCTTTGACTGGGGTGAGGGTGCTGACTGTGTGGCAATCACCTAAGAGGCCATCTTTTAAGTGACATGGGAGGGACACAGTAAGAACGAGAGCCCCAGGTTCCCTGTACAGAGAATGAGCTGCTGGGTGGAAAAGGAGAGACCAAGAGAACCCAGGAAACAGAAAGGGTGAGGCAAAGCTCAGCTGTGTACCAGAGCTAGTATTACTTTAAAGGGGTACTGGAAAGTCAAAATAAATCAGATATTTGTTTTAATAAAAATAAATATTAGCAAATTGATTAAAAGATGTCTTGTGCGAAAGGTAATTAAGGCATCATAATGTAGAAAACACAAGAAAATGGGTTTTCCTAAAGCCTCTGGGGTGTGTGGGGTGGGGCCGATGTCTGTCTAGGGTGGATTGACTTCTCCATAGAATCAATCAGGAAACGCCTCAGCCCCCATTTCCTGTTTCAGGTCATTTCCAGATCCCTCCATACTGAGGACATGTCCACGAAACCTTCAAAAACGCCAGTGGAGGGCTAGCACTCACCCTGGGTCCCCACCAGCACGAGTGGGATCTCGCTGGTGTTCCTGTAGTTGGCCATTCGGCTGTAGTAATGGTAGACAGTCTGGAAACTGATCTCATCCTCCAAGCTGAAGACAAAAATGACCGCATCCACCCACATGGCAAACTGCAGAGAGAAGAGCGGAGAAGGGGCAGCTGAGGGGGGTTCAGGAGGAGGTGGGGGCCACACCTCTGTGAGCGTCGGGGCGCCCCTTACCGGCTGCCTGTGCACCGTGGCTAATCACTGAAGTCTTCTGTGTGTACACGGGCACGGGACATCCTCCTCCCCCGGGTTTCCACCAGGGCCCTTCGCGTTCTGAGAACCCAGTCCTGCTGTTTCCCCGTGGTCACTGCGACCCTAAGTGTCTATCTACCCATCTGGGACCGGTGTGTGTGTGTGTGTGTGTGTGTGTGTGTGTGTGTGTGTGTGTGTGTGTGTGTGGTGG